CTTAGTGACTTATTTAATTCAATGTGTTACTGTTGACCTTTGAATGGCAAATGTTTTTTCCTTACCAAACTTGTATTTATAAATTGTGAATCAAATTCCAGGTACAATTTTATTTTTAAGATAAGTTCCGTGGGGAGCACAGCCATAAAATGATAAAGCGAGGAAGAATATTTACTGAGTCTATTTATAAAAACTGAAGTTGCATTTAATCTTTCAGGACTGCTCCTGTTACATAGCACAGCATAAGTGAAATTATTTTCTTTTTTAGGCTCACTCTGTATCCATAGCTGCCTTCTCTATGTAGCCCAGGATGGCTTTTCTGTGTAGTCCAGGCTGGCTTCAAAGTTGTGTCAATACTTCTGTCTCAGCATTTTTTTTTTCATTGTTTTTGAATAGCTTTTCTTTTTAGAAAATTTATTTTCTTTTTAATTATGTGCACTATGTATGTCGATGTGGGGGTGTTCATATGCAAGTGGAGGTACCCACAGAAGCCAGAGGAGTTTAATCCCTCTGGAGCTGGAGATACAGACTGTAAGCCACCAATATGGGTGGTGGGATTCAGGGAACTCTGCAAGAGCAGTACATTCCCTTAACTACTGAGCCATCTCTCAGCACCTGAAACACAGTTTTGATTTTTGCTTGTTTCTTTTCAGACAGGATCTCATGTAGCCCAGGCTGGCACCCAACTCTTGAGGATGACCTTGAACTCATGATCCTCCCACCAAGTATTAAAATTATAGCTGTGTGCCACTATACTAGGCTGAGGTCTTGTTATTGATCTGGCTGGCCACAAAATTACAGCAATACTCTTGAATTAGCCTCTCAAGTGTTGAGATTATAGAAACGAACCACTAGGCCTTGCACACTGAAATTCCTTTGCTGCAGCTGCTGGTGGTGGTAATGGTGGTGGTAATGGTGGTGGTGCTGTGTGTGTGTGTTAAGCCAGAGGGCAACCTTGGATGTCATTCAAGAGCCATTCACTGTATTGTTTCAAGGATATTCATTTATTTGTTTGTTTGTTTGTTTGTTTGTTTATGTGTGAGGGGCAGGTGGTTAGAGGACAACTATCAGGAGTTGGTTCCCTCCTACCGCATGGGGGCCAGGTATCAACTCAGATCATCTGGCTTCTCCTTTACCAGCTGAGCCATCTTCACGGCCCTTGTTTTGTTGTTGATTTTTGAGACAAGGTCTCATGTAACCCAGGCTGGCCTTAAACTCACTATGTAGCCAAGAATGACCTGAAACTTCAGGTCCTCTTGCCTCCACCTCCCCAGTCCTGGGATTATAGACATGCTCCATCATACCTGATTGTTTATGCAGCATTAGGAATGAACACAGTCCAAGCAATCTACCAACTGTGCTCTATCCTTAGTCCCCAGCCCCAATAATTCTTCTCCTACTAAATCCATCTGTGGTCAATGGGAGACACTTTAGGTTGAATCTTGAGTCCTTTTGGGGTGACTTCAATAGCTGCTGGTGGCTTGTTATCTGGTATCACAACATTCTATGATCACCCTGTGCTGGAATCAACCATTTCTCTAAGAAGCTAATTTCTTTTAATGGGTAAATTGCATCAGTAGTGGAATTTTTGGTTTCTTTAAAAACTCAGTCATGTTACATAGCAGGTTTTTGTTTTAATCCCAAGTATGGGATATGGGATTGCCTTAGTTTATCCACAGCTGATAATTGCTTCATGTGGCACATGGTCTTTGCCAGCTGCTAACAGCATTGTGCAACTCAGAGAGGGCTGTGGTCTTTGCCAGCTGCAGATAGTAGAATTCTGAGGACTCTGGGAAGGTATAAATACAAGAGCCCCAAGAGGATCTTAGGGAAAACAGAGAGAGGAGGAGGAAGGCTGCTTGTTCGTTTCACTGCTGCCGTTTGCCAGATGGTTCGATATCCTGGGAGACCTGTAGATATCCTGACAACTGAGATTGGTATTTTTCCCAAAGAACCTGACAACCCTAACCAGCCTGAAGTAGCCAAAAAAGGTCTACATCCCCTTCCCCTTCTAACTTTCTTTCTCTCCTACCTAGTGCGGGGGAGTTGGGAGGGAGGTAGAGGCTTTAGGAACCCCAAAATAAAACAATGTTTTAAAACAGCACCTACAGGCATCTCGAGATCACATGGGCAGTAAGGATGTTCACTGGGTCATCACTGTTCCTAGACTTTTTAGTGAGCACATGCATACACAAACAAAAACATGTGTCAAATACCTACAGGGGCAGACAGGCAACAGTGTGACAGAGATGAAGCAGGGACTATGGTGGAGTAAAGAGGGTATGCTTCATGTGATAGAGTCACATAAATATAAGGCTTCACATAAAGGCTTTACCTTCTATCAGTAAAGGGTTTGCCTTGCAAATATGAGGACCTGAGTTTGATTCCCAAAACTTAGGCAGATCAATGCTGGGAGTGGTGTACATGCTTGTAATCCCAGCACTGGGGAGGTGGACACAGGAGGATTTCATGGATTCACTGGCTAATCAGCCTAGCCTATTTGGTGAGTTCTAAGCCAGTGACAGATCCTGTCTCAAAACAAACAAACAAACAAACACACACAATCAATGAGACAGTGCCTGATGAACAATTCACATGGTGCACATGAACTTGCACACAGACACATATATACACATATATAAGAAGCCAGAAATATAAATTACTATTATTTATTATTATTTACAATTTATTCACTTTGTATCTCAGCTGTATTCCCCTCCCTCATCTCCTTCTATTCCCGCCCTACTTCCCTCTCCCCTAGTCCACTGATAGGGGGAGGTCCTCCTTCCCTACGGTCTGACCTTAGCCTATCAGGTCCCATCAGGACTGCCTGGAACCTCTTCCTCTGTGAGCTGGCTAGGTCACCCCACCAGGGAGAAGTGTTCAAGGAGCAGGCAACTGAGTTTATGTCAGAGACTGTCTCTTCTCCCCTTACTAGGAAACCCACATGGTGACTGAGCTGTCTATGGGCTACATCTGAGCAGGGGGTCTAGGTTCTCTCTATGCAAGGTCTTTGGTTGATGCACCAGTCTCTGCATTAAGCCCTGGGTCCAACTTTTTTGGCTTTGTTGGTCTCCTTGTGGGGCTCTTGTCTCCTCTGGGTCCTTCTATCCTGCCTCCTCTTCCATCAGACTCTCTGTGCTTGGCCCAAACTTTGGCTGTGAGTCTCTGCATCTGCTTCAATCCCCTGCTGGGTGGAGTCTTTTAGAGGACATCTGTGGTAGGCTCCCATCCTGTTCCTTCTTTTCTACCACTTCCAGTGTCTATCCTATTTATCCTTCTGAATGAGAATTAAGCATTTCTCTAGGGTCCTCCTTGTTGTTTAGTTTCTTTAGGTCTGTAGATTTTAGTACGTTTATCCTTTATCATATGTCTAATATCCACTTATAAGTAAGTATATACCATGTGTGTCTTTCTGCTTCTGGGTTACCTCACTCAGGATGATCTTTTCTAGTTCCAATGGAAATTCTTAATGTAAATTTTGAAAATGACAACTTTTTAAATATATTTGTGTGGTATGTGTATGCATGCTTACATCTTGGGGGAGGGGGATCACCTCTGTGCCTGGGGCAGCCAGAGGTGACACTAAAAATCTTCTATCACCCTCCACCTTATATATGACATTCAGGCAGGATCTTTACCTCAGCCCAAGCTCAACTTGGCCAATCTAGCTAGGCAGCTTGTTCCAGAGACTCTCTTCCCCTGTGTCCCAGGTACTGGGACATGTGGTCCGCTGTGCCCACCCTGAATTTATATGTGTTCTAAGGCTCCAAATTTAAGTCTGCAGAGCCTTGTACATGTTAGGCTAGTGTTTCATCACTGAACTTTAACTCAATTTATTTCTGTCTCCCCAATGCTCTAAAATACTTCCACAGAAACCATTTTCTTCAATATATGAAAAGGGGAAAAGCCAGTTACCAGAATCAAGTCTTTAAAAGGATCTGGAACCAAACAATATTCAAACTCTTGGAATCTTAAAACAAGAACCCGGAGAGCCAGACATGTTGGTTCATGCCCATGATCCCAGCCCTCACGTCATGAAGACAAGGAGACTGGCAGCAAACTTCCAGTAGATCGGCCAAACTGGGGAATTGCGGCTTCAAGTGAGATAGCCTGTCCTAACATGTGCCGTGGGAAGTGACCAATGAGATCATCCAGTACCGTCCTCTGGCTTGGACAGACAGACACATCCATGGGCATGTGCACCTGCATACATACTCACCCCCCCCCCACATAAACACAAATATGTGCACGTATATACATGAAAAATATTTCACTTTTAAATTAATTTGAAATTTGCACTTCCCACTACTTGTGTGTATGTGTGTGCCTCTGTGACTGGGCACACATGAGTACAGGAGACAACTTTGGTGTTGTTCCTTAGGTATTGCTCACCTTTCTTTGTTTTGGAGACTGGTTCTCTCACTGGCCTGGAATATAACAAAGGGCTGGAGTAGCTGATTAATGAGGCAGAGGGATCAGGAGTACAAGTCTTCCTCAGAACATTAGATTATAAATGGGTGTTCAAGACCCACCCTCTACTGCCTATTTATAAAAAGAAGAAAACTAACAGCCCGAAGCCTCATCCCTGGAACATCCCGGAAGCAAAACACACAACACAAAGCTGTTTCTGTTTCTGGAAATGGAGCAGGGTGTAAAAACTCTAAATAAAGGCCCCTCCTGAAGAAGCTCTGGGAAAGATGTAAAGGCAAATTGTTGGGAAAATGCTGATGGGATTGACTCCTTTGTGAGACATCACAAAATGACCTATCCTAAGTCACAGAAAAATATGGAAATCACAGGCTTAAATTCTTCAATTCAAAGACAAGAGGTCAGATTGTATTAAAGAAAAAAACCTGAACAGTGCCTACAAAAGAGCCTGGTGTCTGTTACTGTCATTGAAAGAGAACTGGGTCTCAAATCACTCATGGGGGTCCAAGGCTTTAAGAATTCCAAGCAAAATAATCACTTCAGCAGTACATATATTAAAACCGAAATGATACAGCTTCAGCAGTACATATATTAAAACCGAAATGATACAGACGATTAGCATGACCCCAATGCAAGGATGACACGAAAATTCATACTGCATTCTATATTTTTAGTATTCTTCGAAGTCCAAAAACAACATGTAGGAGATGTTTTTAGCGATTTACTTATTATTTTCTGTGCATTGGTTTTTTTGCCTGCATGCATGTCTTCTCCAATCCCCTGAAACTGAAGTTACAGACAGTGGTAAGCTGCCATGTGGATGCTGGTAACTGAACCCGGGTCCTCTAAAGAGGAACCAGGGCTTGCAACCATTGAGCCATCTCTCCAGCCTCCATGGAGAAGACTTTAATCTCAAAGGAAAAAAAAAAAGTTCCAAGCAAAAAGGAGGAAAGGAGAAAGGATGAACAAACTTCCTGGACTGTGTCAGGAGCCGTATAACTCCCACCCCAATCTCCCTCTCCAGAATCATAGCCTCAAGATTTTTATCTGCCCTGCCATGCCCCCTCTTTATGTTTGCTTTGTTTTTCTGCTATGCAGCCCATGCTAGCTTGGACCTCTGCCTTTTTTTTTAAATAATTATTTATTTTTATTTGTATGTATATTTGGTGTTTGGTCTACATTTATGTCTGTGTGAGGGAGTCAGGTCCACTGGAACAGAGTTACAGACAGTTGTGAGCTGCCATGTGGGTGCTGGGAATTGAACCTGGGTCCTCTGGAAGTGCAACCAATGTTCTTAACCACTGAGCCATCTCACCAGCCCCATAGCCTGGACCTCTTTCTGTAATCAGGCTGGCCCCAAACTCATGACAATCCCCCTGCCTCAGTCACCTAACTGCTGGAGTTACAAATATGCATCACCATGAAAGGCACAAGCTCAGGTTCTCAGTCATATGCTCGCATCTTGTTTTTCACCGTGGAATCCGGTGCTGGACATACCAGGGCTCTCCATTTTAGTCTGCCTGCTATCAGATCATAACACTGTAATGTGGAAACTAGGCTCCAAGCCAAGGTCACAGGAAGAGCAGAGTTGGGGGAGGGAACAGATGGGCTCAAACTATCATTTTCATCAGTGACTCACAGGGAGACAGCTGCAGCATCCCTGCTCTTGATCCTGTGTCTCATGAGAGAACAAAATAGTCGTTGCCTTTGGTTCTGATGAGACCCTAGCTTATCCACTTTGCAGACTCTAGAAACTCTACCAGCAGAAGGTAGGTGGGTTTACCATGCCAAAACAGGAAGTACAATCTAACTTCACAGTTCCTTTCCCCTCCTCACTCCTTCTTTTACCAGCTGATGACTATGTCCTTTCCATCACCACATCACTGCCATGTGAATATTAAGTAACTATATCTACTGATCTCTCATTAGACTGTTCTAGATACACAATGTGCATTAGCCCTTTCAACAGGTATTATTACCCCATTTAAAAAATTATTAGTATAGCCAGCATAGGCCTGTATATTAGTATATAGCATAGGCCTGTAATCCTAGCACTCAGGGAAGCAGAGACAGGTGGAGCTCTGTGAGTTCGAGGCCAGCCTGGTCTACAAAGCAATACAGGACAGTCAAGGCTACACAGAGAAACCATGTCTCAAAAAAAACATAATAAATACATTATTATTATTATTATTATTATTATTATTATTATTATTATTATTTGTGTATACGCATACGCGTGTGCGTGACATATAAGCACAGCATGCCCATGTGTTGGTGTGAGTGTGGAAGTCAGCAGACCACTTTGGGAAGTGAGGTCTCTTCTACTGAGGGCGCAGGGGATCTGACTCAGGCTGTCAGGCCTGTGTGGCAACACTTTATGGGCTGATCCATCTCGATGCCCTACTATCCTGTTTTGTGACTGAGGAAACAGAAGAAAGCCAGACAAAGACTGTCCCAACCAAGATGTTAAAAACAATTTCCTAGTCCCTTTTTTCCTATTCTAAAAATTTTCAAGTATCTAAAAAAGTTGAAATCTATCAACTAGTTTATTTATTTTTGTGTTTCATTTTATACCTAGTTTGAATATTAATACCTTATTTGGGTTCAGGTTTTCTCCCCCCCCCC